AAACCTAATGTGTGGATCGAATTTGAGACAGGTTATAATCACCAAAAAAACACGCAGTTTTAACTAGTAAAAAAAAAACCAGCACGAGGGGGGGTTGTCTCACCCTCCAGAAACACCGATTGGGGACACCTCCCCTCCACACATATACTGGAATAACTTCACTGTAATAAGCAGAAGGGGATCCGGAAGTCTCAGATCAATTGACCAACAAGTGTTGTTTTAATTCGAGTTTTCCATATCAGTATCGTAGCATCCTACATACAAATTAGTACTGCTAAATATTTCRATATCAAAATACTTCCTACTTAATGTTTTTTTAAAAGTGAGACAGGTCCAAACTCGGGAGCCCTAATGAGGTGTATTGTTACCTCCGTAGACCCGTGTAAAATTTGTACTGGCTCCGGACCTGTCTCCACCTCATTAGGTTTCGTTCGTACGTACCTGTCCGGTACGAGGAGTTCTTCTGCCAAAAACTGTACCAGGTGACGACWACTGAACAGATCAGACGGCAGGGCACAACGTCGTCAAGGTGCCTTCATTGGCAGAAACAGACGAAAAGTTTTCTGTCTGACAACAGAACAATCTCAGAGTCGATAGGAACAATCCTTGTTACTGTGGAGCACTCACAAGCATACGGAAGATTTCAATCGAAAGTCTMATTCGGAGTGCCTTTGAGAAAATAYAGCTGGCTCAAACCCAAGATGAACCTTGTCGCCAGAGGCTTCGCARCATTGTTGACGCTTGTGATAGCGAATTCCATGACGAATGTGGTTGATACATGCAAGGCTTTCGTTCCAATGTTATCAACTCAATCCGTTCCCAGTGACCTAAGATGGTCATGTTTCAGAAAACCTGTCAGACTACATCTGCAAAAAGGATGGTTCGCCGAAGACGGGGAAGACCGAGATGAAGATATGTTGGTAACGAGAGAGGATTTGAATCGTGATTTACTCGGAATGGAGCCTAAAGTGAAACGAAAACGGAAGAATGGCAAAGGACAGGGATATAGGCCGCTTGACAATCGGGATCATCTACCATTTTCAGTCAGAACAAAGACGCCAGATGATCCATACAAAACTGAATTTCAGAGACGAAAGGAGCAACAAATGATTGACAAGAGCAATGGAGATAAAGTAAAGGGAACCGACCTCGACCGCCACATGCTTGCATCAACTAGKGGTAATTYTTTCTCGAAAAGAAAGAATGAGAAGATAAATRGTAAATCTAAAAAGAAACTTTCAGATGATTCGACTACGCCTTCGAAGCTGATCCAGCGTCAATCGAGAAAGAAAAGCAAGAGTCAAAACGGAAAGTCAACGACGACAGTGGTGGGAGAATTTCAACTTGACAAGTCAACAACRAGTGGTGATATCATCGTGATAGGGGACAAAGAGTACCTAGTCGAGACTGCRCGCTGCCAGTATAAGTATGCGGGAGGACAACGCTTYGTCATGGTCCGGAAAATTCTTGAGGTGAAAGAACTAGCACGGGCTAAAAAGGAAGATGACTTACTTCGGCAATATGAATCGAGCCCTTCCGCGTTCACGTCACTTTCGAATGATTTCGAATGAATGAARATTAATGATTTCTCTCAGTTTTTATCAACATTATYGGATRGAGACTAGTTACAATGGTAGTTGATCTTCTCAAACAGYATTTATTTSATATTTTTTCCCGCACCCTGCATTCTTCTTTTGTACATCTTCCTTCGATGCTTCTTATTTCTATTTATGTCGTCCAGATTATCAATGCTTCCAGACCTTGATGGTACGATCCTTGGATCCGGTTGCAACGCTCGCACCGTTAGGACTCCAATCTAAAGCGTACACCTCATCGGCATGTCCTGGTAAGGTTGCCTTTGCAACCTTCCCCGATGGGACCTCCCACAGCTTRGCAGTGCTATCCTTACTGGCAGTGACTAGGTATCTACTATCTGATGACCATGCTACCTGATAGACAGCTCCTACGTGCCCTGTCAGGGTTGTCAAAAATTCTCCAGAAAATCCGTTCCACAATTTAACTTTTTTGTCGAAAGAGGCACTCGCAAAATAGCGACCGTCTGGGCTAAATTGAATGTGATTGACAGCCTGTTGATGACCTGTCAAACGCTTCACAGGGTGTTTGGCTGAAGTGGGATGCCATAAGAAGAGTGTATAATCATCACTTCCGGAAACRAGTCGTTCTTTTTCTCCGTTACCCTCCTGTTGATCTCTGAAAGCTTGGTAACGTCCTAGTGCAGCTTCATATTTGGCCCTACGAATAGTATCCTCATCGTTGTTATCGGCATCGATCTCTGTTTCGAAGACCCGTTGGGGTCGTCCCGACGGAGCAAAATCATAGGGACCAGTTCGGCAGACGTAATCGCTTGATAACGCCAGTGTGTTGACTCGATGTCCGTGTCCCTTTAATGTTCGAACRAGTTTTCCTAGGWCATCTCCCTCTTTCGCTGTCCATACTTTGATTGTACGATCTCTACTGGCTGTATAAATGAAGCCCTCGCCACCCCATTTGACAGCCTCGATCGAATCGGTGTGGCCCGACAAAGTCACCAAGGATTGCTTTGTTCTAACGTTCCAGATTTTACACGTCCCGTCCTTTGAAGCAGTGACAATTCGCTCACCTCGACCCTGATTGAGGTGAAGAGGCTCCCACGCAAGTGCACTGATATACTGCTTGTGTGCTTTGGCTTTAATCCAAATGGGTTCTGATGACAACGACTTCTCCCCGGTTTCTCTATTTCCCCGTTTTCTCTTTCGATGAGGATCCCAGAGTATCAATGTCCCACGTTTATCTGCACTAGCGAAAAAGCGTCCATCAGGTGACCAAGAAGTACAAAGCACGTGATCTTTGTGTTGTTTGCACGTAAATTTGGGTAGACTGGTATTCACGTCCCAAAAACGAACAGAAGTGTCTCCACCGCCACTAGCAAGATTTAGTCCATCAGGACTATAGGATACATGCAGTATGGCTTCGGTATGACCAGACATGGTAGATGTACATCTCGTGACRGGTCGCACTTTAAAAACTGCCAGTGGCTGGTAGGTAAGCTGGAGGGTAACTTCAGTAGACACGAGGTTGTGATATTCCTTAAAGAARTCTGATAGACTGCTAGTGATTTCGACTTCATCTACGATTCCAGCCTTACTTGTGATTTTTGCGTAGAAAGAATAAGGAATTCGTTTTGCTCTGTTCATTTTCTCGTCATCGCCGCCGTCGTCATTTTCAAGGAGAGAATGAACCAATGCTTGAAGATCCTCAATTGTTGAGTGCGTCGGTACGTCCAATGAGCCGGACAACTCATCACCCTGACGATTTTGAAATTGGACAACGAGGTTAGAAGGAAGTTCAGGCCCGTTCCCTTCGCTGCCATCATTGATGCCGCCGGCTTTTTTAAATCGCTTTAAAGGGTTGGAATAACGGTATCCAAGATTGTCAGGGTTTGCGGAACCTACAAGAGATCCAGCCCACGCTATACCCCCGGTACGTTTGTCGCCATTTTTCCCAATTGGTGCCATCTTTTGATTTGAATTTCAATGTGAGTAGTCGATKGTGAAGCAAACTAGTTCCGATTTGTTTCATCGACGACGAATTCAAAGAACAAAGGTTTATCTGATCTGTATCGTTGCGCGTAGGGAGACTGGTACTGTAGCGTAACGCTGCGCCGAGGGATACATCCAGGTAGTACACGGACCGATGAAAAAAATGAAAATCGAAAATCATAGCAAAAAAAATGAAACAAAAATCAATGGTGAGAGCGTAGAAATTCCCCTACCGGTATGGGCAGACAGACCAAATGAAGAACGGACCAATCCAAGATGAAAAACGAGTACGTACTCTCGTACGATGTACCGTAGGTCCGTAAGTGTACTAGTAGCTTCCTGTGTACAAGTTAGTACCAGMACGTATTTCAATATTTAATTACTTATGGTTTTTAAAAACTTTATTCAGGTTGAAGTTGCAAAAGCAAATGAAGGCTATTGTTACCTCCATAGAGCAGCATACAATTTGTACCAACTCCAGACCTGTCTCGGCCTCATTTGCCTTGGTTCCTCATATGTACAGCAGCACTACAGAACTCATCCAAGAACAAGAACAAGAAAGCAGATTTCTGATTTCTCGACTCCTGTAATGACACCTGAAATTTGTAGAGCCTAAACCACTCATCATTTCTGCTATTCAAAAAAATTGTGCATGCAATTGCTTTGGTTGCTCCCGTACTGCTTCAACAATTTTTTTCTTGGTGAACAACTTCTTATTTCTTGTTGCTGCTGCTTCCTCTTGTTGTTCATCTTTGTCACCAGCTTGTTCCTTGTCACATAGCACTTCTTTGATAGTCAAGATATTTTTGTGAAATGGAAAGACAAAATCTTTTCCATGGTATTGTGTCCCATGTCATAACAAATTTCAACCCTGAAAACATGTGGAACTGTGTTGCTGCCCTCTAGTATTCTTCACCGCCTGTAGCTACCCCTAATTTTTCTGTCTGGTTTAAATGTTTCCTCGCCAATTGGCATTTTTCTGAATTGATTTTAATCACATAGGCATGGCTYGGAAATGTACAATACAGTCATTGATTTTAGGCCATCTTTTCAGAAGTAAAATATTTTGGGCTTGCCAACAGACATCATGACATTCTGTCCAACTAAACCATTTTTCTATGGAATTTTTGTTGTGAYGACAATTGATGCAGAAATATATTGTCAATGAACATATTTACCTTACTCACTATCCAATACTGCACCAATGCTGCTTCATTATATTGGTGGTAGCAACAAGGCAACTCATTGTTAATTGTCAGACACAGAGGAGGAGTCCTCACCACCACCTGCTGAAGATACCATAATGCCAGTAGATGTGCATCTTCTTCTGACAACTGACATCTAAACATCCCCCCCCCCAATCAACACTATCAGGAAGACTGCCAAACACTAATCAGCAGCACTAATCAGCTGCACTAATCAGCAGCACTAATCAGCAACACTAATCAGCAACACTAATCAGCAACAGTATGACTCCAGCAACAGTCCCATCCACAACACTAACCAGCTATCAATGCAATTGATGCTGGCTGTCAAGGACAATGACAAATCAACAACAAAGGCACCGAGCAACTATCAGCAACGCTATCAGCAACAATCCCAAAAACTCTTCAGCAACACTAATCAGCAACACTAATCAGCAACACTAATCGGCAACAGTTTTCCCCCAGCAACACTCCCATCCACAACACTAACCAGCTATCAATGTCATCAACACCACTGACACCAGCTATCAACAAGGACAACAACAAATTGACAACAACAGCACTGAGCAACCCTATCAGCAATACTCAGCAAAACTATCAGGGRCACTCATCAACACTAATCAGCAACAAAAAAATCTTAATATTATGTTTMACCTCATGAACCWGAAGAGGCACCATATGGCCAGAACCATACTAACTTTTGTTTGGAAGGTATGCTTCTAGCTGCTCCAAGGGGCAGCACTTCCCTCCGAGGAGTTGTGATGGAGGTGCGACCAG